CAGAGGGAGAAGCAGACTCCCTGCCGAGCAGGGAGCCCGATGCGGGACTCGATCCCGGGACTCCAGGATCGTGACCTGAGCCGAAGGCAGTTGCTTAACCAACTGAGCCACCCAGGCGCCCCTATGTGCCAAGCCCTTTTAAGCAAGTCCATTTTACAGACGGGGAAACTGAGGTTCAGTGAGAGGAGTGGCTTGTCTCAGGTCACACAGCCAGGAAGCGGATGAGCTAGAAGCCCACTACCCTGTCCCGCCTCTTAGACTGTACCCCAGCCCTGCCCTCCCCACTGCACAGTGGGGGCGTCTGTGTTGTGAACAGCCGAGTTTTGTTGCAGCGGGAAGGGCAAGGGTGCTCTGGCATAAGACCTCGCTGAGTCCTTGGACCCCTCCCCTACCAGCAGCCCCTTTTGTCGTCTGTCACACAAGGACGGGGATAGAGCCTCGCTCTTTGGTTGCGTGAAAGCCTCTTGCTTTGAAAGATGCAGAGAATTTGGTCAGTGGGTGAAAGAGATACATTTGTGTGGGCGAGATCTGGGAGGTTGGATTAAAAAACAAACAAAATGGAGCAAGGCAAAGGGTAGTGAGGGCTGGAGTGTGAGCTCACAGGGTGCTAGGAAATGAGCGGGAGCCACAAGCAGGATGGGGAGGGGACGCTGCGCAAGCTCCCCGGGTCCCGCGGTGGCAGGTGGCAGGGGGCTTGGGTGGAGCTGGGCTTTGGGAACGGTACAGGGCAGGAGCAGGAGGAGCAAGACGGGTAGGGAGGAAGGCGCCCTCTGGCCAAGGAGCCCTGCCTTCAAGCCACTTTCCCGTTCTCCAGCTTTGCGGATATCCTGTTTGTGACCATCCCCTCCCAGAACATGCTGGAGTTCAACCTGGCCAGCGAGAAGGTCATCCTCTTCTCAGCCCGAGCTCCCCAGGTCAAGGCCCTGGTGGACGACTTCATCCTGGAGCTGAAGAAGGTCAGGGTCCTCCTACGGATGCCCCCTCCTCAAGGGGCAGGGGGCGGAGAACAGGGCTCTCGTGCACCTGGACACACCAGCCGCACCTGCCTGGGCAGCATGGATGCCATTGTGGGTGTGCGTGTGCGTGTCCAGAGACTTTGGTCATCTTTCAGGCCTTTCCATAGGCCGTGCTGCCTTCCACCTGGGACACCTGTTCCCACTTCTGCCGGCTCCTTCGGAAGCCTTTCCTGATGCCCTCATCATGGGTGTCACAGCACCCCCCACCCCCGAGCTCCAGGGCGAGTGCCCCCTTCGGCCTCCCACAGCCTCCCTTCCTCCCGACTGGGCAGCCTCAGGCCCAGCGGCTGGCCTCAGTGGGGCAGCTTTGGTGAGGGACGGGATGGCTAAGGCCTATGCATGTGCCCTGATGGCCACCTGTGTTCATCGGACCCCTGACTCCAGCCCATTACAAGGCCACCCCTTCGACTTGCATAGCGTCCTTCCCTCTCACACCCACGGAATGGTCCCTCCCCCAGGAGTCAGGGAGGAATGGCTGTGGATGAGAGGAGCCGGGGTGTGCCCCAGGCTTCTGGGAGGAGGGGGATGGGACCGCAGCCCCTCACCCTGCCCCTGGGCGACCCAGGACTCGGACTACGTGGTCGCGGTGAGGAACTTCCTGCCCGAAGACCCCGCGCTGCTGGCCTTCCACAAGGGCGACATCATCCACCTGCAGCCCCTGGAGCCTCCTCGAATGGGTCAGGGCCGTGGGACACAGTGGGTACGGGAGGGGGAGCTGGGCCAGGGGGCCTCCCTGGCAGGTGCTCACATCAGCTTGACCCCCAGGCTACAGTGCCGGCTGCGTTGTCCGCAAGAAGGTCGTGCACCTGGAGGAACTGCGGCGCAGAGGCCCCGACTTTGGTGGAGACCCCCGGATCCCCTCCCAGCCTCCAGTGCTCCCAAACCTGGAAACCCTAAACAGTTCCTCCTGGCTTCATGCACTCACACTGCACATGCTCGGTGGGGCTTTCTCGGTGCCCCGGAGGGGTCTGGCCTGGCCAGGCCTCCTCAGGCACCTGCTGCGGCCCAGTCAGTTCCTTCTGGTGGCCCCTAGCCCAGCCCTCTGCATATCGGGCTGAGGGGTCTCTGTGTTAGTGTCCCCATGTGTGTGGCCTGGGTCTCTCTCTTTCTGAGAGTCTACAAGCACCGTTTTCTACTCTACCTCCCACTGAGGGAATGCCTTCCCTTTCCCTGTGTCCTTGTCTGTGAGTCTCCCTCACAGACCCTGGGCAGGGGCAGGAAGGTGCTTGAATATCCCTAGAGGGGCCCCTTAATCCCAAGACGAGACCCTTCTCTTAGTCTCAGACCCCTTACCTGCGCCCTAGGCTGGAGATTCGGCACCATCCACGGGCGCGTGGGCCGCTTCCCTTCGGAGCTGGTGCAGCCTGCCGCCGCCCCCGATTTCCTACAGTTGCCAGCCGAGCCAGGCCGGGGCCGGGCCGCCGCCGTGGCCGCTGCGGTGGCCTCCACAGCGGCTGCGTGGGAGGTGGGCCGCAGGAGGGAGGTGAGACCGGCAGGGCCGGCCATGGGGCTGAGACCGCGGGCGCAGGCAGACAGGAGCAAGGTCAGCCAAGGGCGTGGCCAGTCCCAGGATAGGGCGAACCTGGTAGGGCTAGCCAGATGTGTGACCCACGGGATGTGACCAGAGATGGTTGGAGGTGTGGCCAAATGCGGTCGGGATGGTGGGGGTCAGCAGAAGGATTGTGTTGAGACCCATGGGGCAGGGACCAGCCTGGGGGCCAGTAGGGGTGGGGCCAGGCAAATGGGGCGGGGTCAGGCATGTGGAATGGAGCTACCGAGGGGTGGGGTGAGGTAAAACTAAGGAGTGAGGGAGGATCAGCCACAACCAAGCAGCTGGGGAGGCCAACACTAGGCTGAGATGGGGGGCGTGGCCAGGTGCCGCAGGGGGCGGGGTCAGCTGGGCCCGTGGGAGGTGTGACCAGGCGGACGGGGCCAGGACTACCGAGGGGGAGTGGGTCTAGGTGGGTGGGGGTTAGGGGCAGCCTGAGAGGGTCTGTGCAGAGTCAGCCTGTGGTTGGGTGTGGCAGCTATGAACGTGACCAGGTGTGGCAGGACAGGACCTCTTAGCTCTGGCCCTTCTGCAGGGTCCCCCGGTCAGGGCTGGCCCCCCTGACCGAGCAGAGGACCGCCTGACTCTCCCCCCGTACTCGATGCTTGAGTTTGCCCAGAAGTATTTCCGAGATCCACAGAGGAGACCCCAGTGAGTGGTGGCCCCACCCCTGGTCCCCACTCTGAGGAAGGTCCTTCTGGGGCTTCTTGCAGCCATCCAAGTGGGGACACCCCACTTCTGATGGGGGGGATGAGAAACCACCCAGATGTGAAGTCCACCTGCAGCCTCCGCTTCTGGGAGCCTTCCTGCCTGGTTGACTGACATTGGGTCAAGAACATTCTGGGTGGAGGGACGCCTGGGTGGCTCAGTTGGTTAAGCGACTGCTTTCGGCTCAGGTCATGATCCTGGAGTCCCTGCATTGAGTCCCACATCGGGCTCCCTGCTCAGCAGGGAGTCTGCTTCTCCCTCTGACCTTCCCCCCTCTCATGTGCTCTCTCTCTCTCATTCTCTCTGTCTCAAATAAATAAATAAAATCTTAAAAAAAAAGAACATTCTGGGTGGAAAGGGGATGTAGCTGGAGGCTCAGAGGCAAGACTAGTTAGTAGTGCCTGTCTCCTGTTGCAGGGATGGCCTCAGGCTAAAATCCAAGGAGGGTCGGGAGTCCAGAACCTTGGAAGACATGCTTTGCTTCACCAAGGTGTCCAGCCCCAGGCCTGTTTCCCCACCTGTAAAATGGTGATGCAAGAGCCCCCGCTCCCAGGCCCCTCAGGCAAACAGCCTTGTCCTCAGTGGTACCCCTCCCAGCTCTCAGCACCCCAAGGGCCTGATTCCTCCCGGTGGCAGCATCTGTCCCCATTGCCAGGCAAGCCTGGCCACCTTTTCTGTGATGTGGACTCTCCTGTCATAAGACGGGAGGCACCACCTGGCCCTCCTTCTGACTTGTCCTTCCGCCATCATGACACAACCCCCCCTCCTCCCCTCGCAGACCCCACTCCAGGAATCTCTCATCGAGCTCAGCGACAGCAGCCTCAACAAGATGGCCACCGACATGTTCCTAGGTGTGGGGGTGGGATGGGACCGCGGCCAGGGCCCGGGGGCCGGGTAGGATCCAGCACTGCGTGACCCTGCTCATTCACCCCACCGCCCCGGTCCTAAGAGTCTTCCCCTCCCCGCAACTCAGACCTGGGGCCCCATTAAAGGAAGAGGAGCCCCCAGCTGCCTCGGTTGTACCCTCCCAGGGACGGACCCAACCTTGGGGTACCCTGGGGTGAGTGGGCAGTTGGGGTGTCTGGTGGCCTGAGTGGGACAAGTCGTTCTTATAGCTGTGATGAGGTTCATGGGTGATGCTCCGCTGAAGGGCCAGAGTGAACTGGATGTGCTTTACACCCTCCTGAAGGTCAGTTCAGCAGACTTTGCCGGATGTTCCCTTTCCTGCTTGTGTGGCTCAGTTTCCCCATCTGTCAACCAAAGTTGCAGGACATTGCAGGGCGAGGAGGGGGGAAGCCCAAAAAGGAGTGCATCCTGCAGGTGGGGAAGGGGCTGGGGAAGGGACACCAGGCCTTTCTCCAAGTGCACACCCTGTTCTTCTCTGCCTCGTGTGTGGCATGGGCCCTGGCTTGCCCTCCTCCAGCTGTGTGCGGACCATGAAGTCATGCGGGATGAGTGTTACTGCCAAGTTGTGAAGCAGATCACGGACAACACCAGTACCAAGCTGTGAGTGAGCTGGGCCTTTACCTCTGCCCCCTAGTCCCCATGCTGTGTCCCTGCTTCAGGAGGGGCCAGTTCAGCCTCTCACCCCCCACCCAGGTCTTCCCTCCTGATTCTCTTCCCCCTCATCCTTTTCCTCACCCAGTAGACAGACCACATGTGCTTGGAATTGCTCGGTCTGGGACAAGCCACTGCTGCTCTCTGAGCCTCGCTTTCCTCATCTGTAAAATGGCAATGATAATGTGTTAAGTCCAGGATCTTGGTTTCAAGTGACAGAAGCCGCATCCAAGCTGATTTAAGCAAAAGAGGGTTCAGGTGACTGAAAGGCCTAAATATAGCTTCAGGCATGGCTGGATCCAGGTGTCATTGGGAACAGGCTTTCTCTATGTTCTAGTCCTGCTTCTCTCTGTGTTGATAGCATTCTTAAGTAATATCTCCCATCCACTGGCAAGATGCCAGCTCTGGGGAGACATTTTCCAGCTCAGTAATCTTAGGGAAAGCAAGATGGACCTGATATTGTAGCAAAAATTCCCAAATCCAGTCTTTTTGGCTTGAATTGGTCCCGTGCCCATCCCTGAACCAACCCCCATGGCTGGAGGATACGGAGTTTGACTGGCTAGAACTGGGTCAAATTTTCATCCCTCAACCCATCACCAGATCCAAAGGAAGGCTGAACTCTAATTGGCCAGACCTGGATCAACTAACCATCCCTAAACCAATCACTGTGGCCAGGGGGCTACAGTGTTCTAGTTGGCCAGACCTGGCGCCCATGCGTGGCGCCAAACCACGGTGACCTAGGGAGGAGTGGGTGCTTTCTTAAAGGAAGCCCAAGTGCTGTCCCCAGACCCCAGCAGTCCCCACGAATGAAACCTCACCTGTGGGGCAGGGTGAAGGTGAATGACTGTGTCTTGCCCAGGACTGACACACAGCAAGCAGCCAGCATGGGATGCTCTTGTTACCTACTCGGTCCACCCTCCCGTCCCCATCTAGTCTACCTCCCCCACTCGCTCTCCATCCCCCCGAGGAGTTTTAGAAGCACTCGGCATATCCTCCGGCCCCTTCCCACCCCCTGGCCCTCCCTGCCACTACCTGTGCCCAGCCCCACTGGGTTCCTCTTGCCCTCCTTTGAGGACTTCCTCCCAGGAGCCTCCCCAGAGAGATTCTACCCAGAGAATAACTCGAGTTTTTGCGCATGTCCGGCCTGTCCTGTCAGGGACCTCATCTCCTTCTCTCCCTGTCGCCCACCCTGGCTTCCCAAGCAGAATGTACCTCCTGCATGGCTGTGGGGCCCCCCCCGCCCCCCTCTCCTTGGCCGGGGAGCACCCTCAGCGAACAGGAGCTGCCTGAGAGCCGGAGACGTCCAGCCGCGTCCCAGGAGACTCCTGGCGCGGCACTCCAGGGCTGCGGGCACCTGTGACGTGGCCCTGTGTGCGTGTGCCCTCAGGGACAGCTGCCTGCGAGGCTGGAGGCTGTTGTACATCATGGCTGCCTACCACAGTTGCTCCGAGGTCCTCCAGCCACACCTCGTTCGCTTCCTCCAGGACGTGAGCCGGACTCCAGGCCTGCCCTTCCAAGGTGAGGGGCCAGTGAGTGGTGACTCCGGGTAGTGAGCACGTGGAAGGGACTTCTAGGTGGGCCGAGTGGCAGGAGCAACGTCCTGGAGGTGGGACTGTGTGGCATGTGGGAGAAGGAAGGAGGCAGCAAGGGCCTGGAGTGCCGGGTGAGGCCTTGCTTCTCTCTCAGCCATTGCGAATCCACGAGGGTCTTGAGTGGGTCTGGGCAGGGGTGAGACCCAGCTGGTGGCAGGGTCTCGGCCTTTCCCCGCTTGGAGTCTGGAGGAAAGGGGCCAGGCCTCAGCCTTACCCCGACCCTTGTTTCCAGAGCAACCCCTGGGTTCCGCCTAAGAAAAAGGTCATCATGGCAGTCATGAAGGAGATAGGGCACCTCACTTTGCCTGCCCCCGAGTCCTCCTCTTTGATTCAGTTAACATTCCCAGACTGTGAGATGAATAGACCCAGCTCCCCCGCAGGGAAGGGCTCCCAGATCCGTGGAGGCAGCGGGATGTGCCCAGAAGTTTTGCCTCCATCTCCTCCCCAGAGCAGGGTGAGGGCACTCTTTAACCCTGAGAAACAGACGGTGCAGTCTTCTGCACCGGACTCTGGGTGAGGGAGGGTGGTTGGCAAGGGGGTTCCGGCTGGCGGGGGGACATACCCCCCGGTCAGCAGCTGGAGGTGACAGCTATTTTCCAAGGCTCAAAGGTAGCCAAGGGGACCGTGGGCTAGACAAAAGGCTTTAACCGCATGGGATGTGGGTTCGAATGCAGTTCTTATACAGCAGCCCTCAGCCTTGGGCAAATCCCTGCCCCTCTCGGGGCTGTTTCCTCAGCGACCACGTGGGAGAGGAAATGCCCCATAGGTTGTGGAGAGAAACCAGTGGGCTCGTGGCTGGTGGCCGGAAGAGCCTCTTTCTCGCACTGCCTACCCTGGGCAAGGCCTTGACTCCCCGTCTCTGCAGGTATTGCTAAGGCCTGCGAACAGAATCTGCAGAAAACCTTGCGCTTCGGTGGCCGCGTGGAGCTCCCCAGCAGCATGGAGCTTCGGGCCATGTTGGTGAGCGTGGGGTGGGGTCAGGAGGAGCGTGAAAGAGGAGCCCTGCCCAGAGACCCTGTGGGCACTCAGCGTTCACAAGTGTTCCTGCCCACGCCGGTCCAGAGCCCCTTGGCTTGGGGGACTTCCATGGCCGGGGGCCATTGCTGGCCCAGATCCCAGGACCTGGCCTTTCTCATCTCCTCCCCTCTCTCTGTCCCAGGCGGGCCGCAGTTCCAAGAGGCAGCTCTTTCTTCTCCCTGGAGGCCTTGAACGCCATCTCAAAATCAAAACGTGCACTGTACGTGAGGGACTGTTTCTGGCAGGCAGGTGCTGGAGGGAGACTGGTGGGCCCCCAAGGGTGCTGAGCCGGGCAGGGCAGGACTTACGTCTCAGGGAAGCAGACCAAGTCTCAGAGAGGTGAGGGGTCATACTGCCAAGAAAGAATCTGAACCCTGAGTCTCTCAGACTCCAAGAGCTGTGCTCCTTCCCTGCATGAGGCCGATTCTCAGACGATCGTTCGTGGACCTGCAGGGGGCCTGAGGAACTCTGTGCTTGGCTTCCCGGGGCCTGCGCCGACTGTGAGGACGGAGATCGGCTCAGTTGGCCCAGCCTCACCCTTCCCTCCCTCCAGGTGGCCCTGGACATGGTGGAAGAAATCTGTGCCGAGATGGCTCTGACACGCCCCGAGGCCTTCAGCGAGTACGTCATTTTTGTCGTCACCAACCGAGGTGAGCGGCCAGGACTAGGGACGCTGGGCCCAGCCTGTAAGGCCCAGGTCAGATGCCACTTCCTTCAGGGAGCCCCAGGCTGCCATGCCTAAGAACTTTCCTGTGCGCCAAGCACCCCCAGCTCTGGACGTTGGTCTTGCCTACCAGACTGGAAGTTCATGGAGGACAGCGGCTTGCTCAGCGGGAGCCCATGGGCCCTGCCCTCAAGCAGCTCACGTCCTGGGAAGTTTCCTTGAGTAGACCCTGGCTTCTGGGGCCCGCCTGTCTCTCAGGCTGTGACAGTGGTCCCGCCTGGCCCTTCTCACGCGGCCCAAAGCCCCTTCCATCTGCGGCCCACTCTAGACCGTGGTCTTGCCTCCTGCCCCCGTGGTCGGCCCCAGCCACCTGCACCCAGCTCTTGTCGCTGCTGCCTGGGCTCTGAACTGTGTGTCCTCAGTCCTGACTGCCCGGGTCCAGCTAAGACAGGGCGGGGCAGTGGTAACAAAATGGTCCTCATAACTGACATTTATGGACCAGATACGGTGTCCCAGGCACAGTTCAAAGCATTTTCATTGTAAAACTCCTTTAAGCCCGGCAGCAACCTTACGAAGTAGACGGTGATCAGCCCCATTGACAGGGAAACTGAGGGCCAGGGAGGTTTGAATAAGTTTCCTGTGGCTGCTATAACAAATTACCACATATTTAGTGGCTTAAAACAACACAGATGTATTATCTTACGGTTCTGAAGGTCACAAGTCCTGAAATGTCAGCAAGCCTGGCTCCTTCTGGAAGCTCTAGGGGAGTATCCCTTTTCTTGCCTTCTCCAGCTTCTAGAGGCCGCCCACACCCCTTGGCTCCTGGCCCCTTCCTCCATCTTCAAAGGCAAGAGTGCAGAATCTTCAAACCTTTCTCTCTCTCTCTCTCTCACCTAACTCTCCTTCTGAGGACCATTGAGATGACATCGGGTCCACTTCGATAATCCTGGATAATCTCCCCTTCTCCAAATTCTTAATTTAAGCACATTTGCCAAGTCCCTTTGCCATGAAGGCAAACATAGTCACAGGTTCTGGGGAGTAGGACATGGACCTCTCTGGGGAGGGGGTCCATTATTCAGTGGAGGTTAAGGGATTTCCCTAAGGTCACACCGTGGGGATTTGAACCCGGGCAGTCTAGCCTCAAGAGTCTGGACTTTGTCATCATGCCACACCCCCTCTTTGGTAAAATGTTACTGAAGATGTGGGATGGGGAGCAGGAAGGTCAATGCAAGAAGGAAAAACTTAAACCTCCCTCACAGACTCAGACCCCCTCATTGCCAGGCCCCAGTCCTCCCCACCCCCAACCCATTCCAGGAGCTGGGCAAGGGGTCTCTCCTGAGGGAGTTCTGTAGAAAGGCACCCATGGGTCTCATGATCTGCGGCCGGTGGTGCTTCTCCCTGTCCCCAGCCTCCTCTGGAAAGGGGCTGGGCTTCCTTGGAGCATAACCCAGGACACTTTCTGAGACCTAGATAGGCTGTAGCTTGGACTGGAATTATTCCCAGCTCTGCTCATCAGCATTCTGCAGACATAGGGCACCCTGTTCCATACACATGCTCCCCTTTAGGAAGGACTCCACATGCTGGAGCGGGAAGGGCCTCGCCCAGGCTCTGCACGTACGCTCTGCAGTCACCCCCGGCTCTCCACAGGCCAGCACGTGTGCCCGCTCAGCCGCTGTGCCTACATCCTGGACGTGGCCTTGGAGATGGAGCAGGTGGATGGTGGCTGCATGCTCTGGTTCCGGCGTGTGCTCTGGGATCAGCCACTCAAGTTCGAGAATGAGCTCTACGTGACCATGCACTACAACCAGGTCAGCACATGTGGTCCACTCTGGGGTTCTGGAACCTTCCACACTCCCCTGTGCGAAGTCAGACTGCACAGCCTTGGCATCTGAGGCCTTCCCAGCTGTAGCGACTCTGGGTGCATGCTCAGTTTTCAGAATCCCCGGCCCACTGGCCGTTCCTGAGCGCTGCAATGCAGATGTCCATGACACTCTTCCTTGGCCACTGTGGGGACTCCCATGTGGCCTTCAGGGCCACGGCCCTCCCTGCTCACCCTCACATGCCTCTCAGTGTTCCCCAAAGCCCAGGAGGGTGGCCGGCCACCCCAGCCCAGAAACGGGCGGGAGCGGAACTATTAAAATCGCGTGTGTTCACGTCTTCCTCAGAGGAAAGCGTGAGTGCAGGCCTGCCTGCAGCCCCTCATCGGAATTCTCCCCCGCAGGTCCTGCCCGACTACCTGAAGGGCCTGTTCAGCAGCGTGCCAGCAGGTCAGCCCAGCGAGCAACAGCTGCAGCAAATGTCCAAGCTGGCCTCCCTGCAGCACCGGGCCAAGGACCGCTCCTACCTGCCCAGTGTGTGAGCACACCCCTCACCCCGCCCCGCCGAGGGCCCTTCCAGGCCCCAGCACTCCGCTCCTGCACCCGCATCTGCCAAGCTGGCTGGGAAGGTGGGGGGCGGGGGCTGGTCCTGGCCCTGGGACCGAAATCTTCCACCACCCACCGTGAGCTGGGACTCAGCCTCCTTCCACAACACTTTGCGTCTGGTGGGTCTTCACAGCTCAGAGAAAATGGAACGATAAAAAAGCTTTGGAGATGCACAAAAAAACAGGTTTCTGTGGCCACGCAGAAAGATTCGGCCACAGAAACGTTCACCGCGGTACCACAACCTCAATCCCCAACAATAGGAGATTCCTTAAATAAATCCTGGGTGTCAGGCAGCCTTTCAACCTATGTCCCCAAAGAGGTGATACATCAGTCACCCTAAGACTTTTGGTCTCAGAACATTTTTGCTCTTAAACATAGGACCCCAAAGAGCTTTCGTTATGTGGGTCGTACTTACAGTATTGAAAATTGAAACTGAGAAACGACTTCAAATATTTGTTTGAAAAATAAGGATGATGTATTAAACAGTATAAATAACTGTATAATAATTGTAGTTCTAAAAACACGTGAGAAGCAGTTATAACTCAAGCAATGTAAATTATGTGCCGATACAAACAACTTCTAAAAAACAACTGTATTTTCCTAAAAAATCGGAGAGTGGCACGAGTTTACGTTTTGCCCATCTCTTTACCAACTGGCCTAACAGAAGACAGCTGGTCAGATGTGCTTCTGCGGTCGGTGAGCTGGGATCTCACAGGTCATGTGGCCTCTGGCAAATTCCACTTGTGCGAGAACAGGAGGGGAAAAGGCCAAGTAACATCTTAGCTCTTAATGTTATCAGGGAAATGGACTTTGACCTCCCAGGCCCTTGGCCACACCCTGAGAAGCCCTGGTATCAATAATAGTAAGATAACTAACGTAGGTAGGTACGCTGTCTCCGTAAAACTCTTTTTATGTTCCAATTTTAGGCAAAAGGCGAAGGAAGCACGTACAGCTATAATCCCAATCCTGGAAAAAAAAAAAAAAATCACAGAGTTTTACTTTTTGGAAGGCATTTTGCGTGCATCATCGCAGCTAATCTTTATTTTCCGCCTTACAGACAAGGAAATTGAGGCCCACAGAGGTTACAGGGCTTACTGAAGCTTACCCAACTAATAGGTGGGGAAACTAGGATCCAAACAGAAGGGACTGGAGTAGGGGCTCTGTTGGCCCAACGGGTCCAGCCTGGAGCCCCACGCTGCTCTGCTCCATGCTCTGACCCGCTGCTGGTGGTCACTTTGCCCCCCACCCCCACCACCATATTCCCCCCCGCCCCAGTGCGTCTCACCCCTATGGCCTGGGCTTCCCCTTGGGGATTGGGGCTACAAAGGACTAACCCACCTTGGGTTCAAGCCTCGGCCCCCTAGTTCACTCAGTCACCGTGTGACCCGGGGCCAGTCAGGGAACTTCTCGGAGCCTCAATCCCCTCATCTCACACAGGGAGCTTAGTGGTAGGGGCCACGGTCATGGATAGGGGTCACGGTCATGGAGCCCCTGCCATGGACCAAGGCGCCGAGTGAGCACACTTGACAGGCAGCATTTAGTCGTCCAGGGAGGTGCAAAGATCATGTCGGTTTGGCCTAACACCTGCCCCGTGGTGAGGATGACTGCGACCGCGCGCAGGGCACGTGTGACCGTGGGCACTCAGGCCCGCTATCCCTCCACACGCAGGCGAGAGGTGCAGGACTACATCCCGGCCCAGCTGTACCGCACCCTGGCCGGCTCGGCCTGGCTCAACCTGCTGGGCCAGCACCAGCAGCAGACACAGGCGCTCAGCCCCCACCAGGCCCGTGCCCAGTTTCTGGGTAAGCGCCTGCGGCTGGGGCAGATAAGCGAGGGGTGCTCCTGGAGGGTGGGGAGGGAGGCACTTTTTTCTTTGCACAAAGGCATTTTCGGTGCTAGCCCAGCCAAGCACCTGCCTGGAGAGAACATCTTTCTAAAATGTTCACCAAGGCACCACCGAGGCTCTGGGCGGCCCTGGGCAGATGCGGGTGGCGGGTGCTGGAGAGGCGGGAGGAGCCTTGGGGTGAGGACACGTATGCTGGACGCAGGACGCAGACTCCGAGGGAAGACGCAGGCTGCAGCCTGACCGACCGCCCCTCTTCTCCCCACCCCAGGCCTCATCAGCGCCCTACCCTTGTTCGGCTCCTCCTTCTTCTTCGTCCAGAGCTGCAGCAACGCCTCGGTGCCAGCCCCCTGCATCCTTGCCGTCAACCAGAATGGCCTCAACTTCCTCAGCGCCGAGACCCACGTGAGTGGCCGGAGCCTGGCCCCGCCCCGGCCCCGCCCGGCCCCGCCCTCTGTCCGCACCACCTCCGGGGGCTGAGCTGGGCCCCCAGCACGCAGCAGGCTCCGGCTCCGCCCCGCTCTGAGCCTCACGGGCCCGTCCGGAACATGGGTCCAACAGCAGAACCCACCCCATTGGGCTGTGGTGGAGGTCAGCCGCGGTGGGCGCTCACGTAAATAGCGCACGGGTCCAGACACTGATTCTTCCCCCGTCTGGAGGCCTGAAGCCGGAGAGCAGTTGGTTTCCACCCCCAACCCCGCCCGAGGCCTCTTTCTTGGCGTGTAGATGGCCGCCTTCTCCTTCCTCACTGGCCTTTTCTCGGCATACACATCCTTGGGGTCTTCGTCGTGTCCAAGTTCCCACTTCTCCTTAAGAACACGGGTCGGATTTGAATTGCGCCCACCCTGGTGGTCTCATTTCAACTTCGTTTCCTCTTTCAAGGCCTTGTCTCCAAATACACTCACACTCTGAGGGACGGGGCGTTAGGACTTTATTGCAGGTGATTCTAGGAGACACTGGAGTGAGGAAGTGAGACCAGGAAGGGACGTCTCACACAACTTGGGAACACACTTTCTGGAAGGGTGTGTGAGCAGCAAGCTCCCGCTGTGGGAACTGGCGCTGGAGACAGCCTGGAACACGCCCCTCGAAGGATGCCCTCTGTTCTGGGGGCGAGGGAGCCGGGGTGTCTATCCACCTTGTCGCTCTCTATCACTAACTCCCATTGCTCTGCATTTCTGTGCACGGGCTTGGGCTTTGCTCCTGGGGGCAGAAAGCAAGCTCCAGACAAAGAGGGGCAGATGTTGAGAAGTAGCTTTGAAGGGAAGGTCAGGGCACCACTGGCACCTACTGCACCCCTAGCTCCCAAGGCTTCAGAACAGCGCCCGGCACACTGTAGATGGGTGCGTCTGTATTTGTGGAATCAGTTTCACAGGTGAGGAAACTGAAGTCCAGAGAGGTGAAGCGACTTGCCCCAGGTCACACAGCAAGTCCTAGGGAACTGGTGCTCCAGCCCAGAAGTTCTGCCTCCTATGGATCTGATCTGCAGGGGAGAGGTAAGGGTGGGTGAGGCTGTCCCACCCACAAGCCTATCTCCTCCCCTCTCCCTGTAGGAGCTGGTGCTGAAGATCCCCCTGAAGGAGATCCAGTCAACTCGAACCCAGCGACCCACGGCCAACTCCAGCTACCCATATGTGGAGATTGCACTGGGGGATGTGGTGGCCCAGCGCACCATGCAGCTGCAGCTGGAGCAGGTGGGTCCAGCCCCGGCACCCAGGCCTTTCACCCAGCCCCCCCCTCCTTCATTCCACCCACCAGGCTCTTTGCTGGGCCTGGCTCCAAGGTAGGTCCAAGGTGCCCCAGGGAGCATCCATCCAGCCCAGTGCTGGGGACAGAGCTAACCCAACTGAGCAAAAACTGTAGGTCATTCGGGTGGTCTCCCAATGAAGCATCTTAGTGGTAGGCTCATGGGAAAGGGCCCAGGTTATTTGCAGAATATTGAGGAGTTTGTTGGGGAACTGGGGAGACACAGCCAGGGCAGGGAAGGTCTGAAAAGCCTTTAAATGTCAACCTAAGAATCCGGGGCATTCTCCTGAGGGCACTAGGGAGCCACAGAAGGTTGGTAAGAGGGCAGGGACACAGGAAGTTTGAGGAAGCTCACCTGGACTGAGGCTTGGAAGACGGAGGGTGAGGCCTGGGATTGAGGGTAGAGGGTGGGGTCCTCATGTGACAGACAGAGAAACTGAGGTCCACCTGCCCTGTATCTTCCCATATTTTTAGCAACTGTGGCTGCTTCTTAAAAGGCATGGCTGACCTCTAGACTCCTGTCCAAGTCTCACACCCCTGGGGTGAAGAGTTCTCATCCCGCTGGGGAGAGAAGATTGAGGCCCAGGGAAGGTGTGGGACCAGGACTAGGGCCTACACATGTCTGCCCTTGCCAGCCTTCCACATCCCCTCAAGATCTGGGCCTAGGACTGGCCCCCACACCAGGGCCTGCCTTGGAGGGGCCGACCTCCCAGGGCAAGAGGGAGGGACTCCCACCGCCCTAGCCCTGCCTCTGAGGGACACAAAAGAGCCCTTTCGGCTCCATGTACCTCTTGGAGAGCTGCAACTCAGGACCAAGCCAGACCAAGTCTGCTTCCCACCACACCCCAATTCCGCTCCTGCCAAGCTCACCCCCAGTCTTGGCCTTACTTCTGGCCTGGCCTGCTTCCCAGAACCTTCCTCTCTGAGCTCACACCACAGTGAACCTACCTTATGCTCCTTCTTGGGCTCCTTTTCTGCTGCCCCCTCCCCTGGATGATGTCTGAATGTTGCCAAGTTGCCAAGTCTCAGCCCCTCGCCCCGCACTCTTTCTGGCCCTGAGGCAACCGTCTCTGCTGTGACAGCCCCCATATTTCTGTCTCCTGCCCTGACCCCTCATCATCTCCCCTGGAGACCAACAGGCCTTACTTGAGAACCCTCCCAGGCACTCTCGAGCCCTAACCCAGGGGCCCTTTTCCTCCCCGTCGCCTCCTCTCTTTACCTCTCTGGCCTCTGCTCTCACCACCCCCCCACCCTCTGCTCGCAGCCCTGGCCTCTTCCAGCTCCCTGATGCCAAGCTTGCCCTCACCTCTCTGCCCCAGACCCTTTGCACTCCTTGTCCCCTCTTCCCTGGTTCGATCCAGGGCTCTCCCCGTCCTTCCATTTATCTGGGTGCAGCACAAGCATCACCTCTTTCCAGAAGCTTTCCCCGACCTTCTCCCTTATATATTACTATCTTCACCTTGGTAGAACTCCTTAGGGCTTGCAGATCAGTTACTTGTTTACATATTGTCTGTTTCCCCCACCAGAATGCCAGCCCCAAGAGACCAGCTCTGTGCCTGTTTTGTCTACATTGTGTCCAAAGCACAGCACCTGGCATGTAGTAGATACTCAGAAAGTGGTTGGTAGGACGGATGGTTGGATGGGTCTTTTTTGGCTTTTCCACTTCTTTGCAGACCCCCAACCCCTTTGATGCTGCTTCCTCTGCCTCTGGCATGTTTGGGGCAGGGGGAGGGGGGTGCATTCATTCATTGATTCAACATGTAACCACTGAACATCTCTATGTAGCAGGCTCTGCACTGGCTACAGGGAAACTGAGGTCACTGTGACCCTCTCAGCCCTGGCCCTCACCGAGCCCCAAGTCAAAGAATCTCTCCAGTAGCCCACGATCCGTGCTGAGAAGGATGTAGCTGAGCTTCCTGGGATGTAGTCAGTGAGGGCTTCCAAGAGGAGGTGATGCTGAGTATTGCGACAGCGCAGCCGACAGACCTAGGTCCCCGTCTCGCGCACCTCTGACAGGCTGCATGAGGGGGATGTCAAGGCGCCCCACTTCTTACTGAGCTTCAGTTTCCACACTTGTCAGGTGGGGCCACGGCTCCAGGGAGGCCTCGCATTTTGCACGTGGGTGGGAGGGTTGGCTGGAGCATTGGCTGGAGTGGACGATGCCCATCATGCATGCCCTGATCTCATCCCCCGAGGGGGCCCCCAAGCGTGGGGCAGGCACCGCTGACGTCAGCACAGATCGCTTCGGAGTGGGGCCTTGGGCCTCTTACCCCCTGGGTTCAAGTCCCCACCACCTGCCTACCAGCTTCGAGGTCTGGGGCAAGTGGCTTCAGAGTTCTGGCCTCAGTTTCCTCGCCGGTGGAATGGGGTCTAAAAGTGTCTGCCTCATAGGGATACGGTGTGGACGAGAAGGGGTAAGCTGCAGGAACTTTCCGGACGGTGCATGGCACACAGTCACGGCTCAGTCCCTGTCCTTTCTCTTTACCTCTGTCAGGGCAGCTCCCGTGGCCCCTCGCAGATCCCTGCAGGGATGCCCCCGCCGCCTGTGGTCTGAGAACCACTCTCAGGTGGATTTTCCACAATTCTCTGCCGCCTCTTCCTCCCCACGCCATCTGGGAGCCCTGAGGCTGGCCCATGGCTTATTCTCTGCCCTGGGTGCCCCGTGGTAACCATGGCAACACATCACTAGACACTTACCACTTATCGACTAGACTCATTTTTTCCATTTAAAGGGTTTCCATGTAATAAAATCTCACAGAATCCTCCTTGCAGCCTTGTGAGGCAGGCCCTGGGAAACCGAGACCCTACTGATGAGGCCGCTGAGGCTCTGAGAGCTGAAGTCACCAGCCCTAGGTCACGCCGGTCACACGCAGCAAAGGTGGCCGATGCGCCTGGTCTCCTGCTTACTGACCCTTTCCAGCCGGGAGGCGGAGACAAGGGTGGGACCCGCCAGTCCTCTCCCAACCACATCTCACCCCAAGGGGAGAGCTGGGGGAGTGTCTCTGGCCGCGTGGACTCTCACCGTCTCTCCTGCAGGGCCTGGAGCTGTGTCGGGTGGTGGCCGTGCACGTGGAGAGCCTGCTCAGTGCCCGTGAGAAGCGGCTCACGCTGCCCCCCAGCGAGATTACGCTGCTGTGACCCAGCCCCCGGCCCTCCAGCTGCCCTCTCCCAGAAGGCTTGCTGTGTGGCCCCAGGGAGGTACTGGGTCTCTCTGGGCCAGTGACCCCTGGAAGGGACCAGACGCTTGGTAGGGAGACTAAGAGGTGGTAGGACGAATGACCTAAGTTCCCGGGCATCACATACGCAGTATGGGCCCGGCCCCAACTCGCCCCTGTGGCAGAGAAGCCCCACACCAATGGTCTAGTCACACTGGACTCTGCATTTGCTTTACTGCGGGTCTGATGTTCAAATCTGCTGCCGCTCCACATCTCAGCCCCTCACGTGCCCTCCAGTGCTCCCCGCACCGCTGCTCAGCTTGGATTTCTGACCCTTGGTCTTGTCTGTGCACATAAAGGGTGTGCCTGGCAGCCATTCCTCCCTCCACACAGTTGCTGAGTAGCTGGAAAAGCAGCCTAAGGGAGGAGGCAGGAATTGGGAGGCCCAGCTGAGCCCCTGACTCACTGCCCGTGAACAGAGCGCCCAGCAGAGACCTGTCCTTATCTCTCCCTGCAGACCCGTCCCCCCAACTCCACACTCCTTAGGTAGCCCCAACCCCAGGCCCCCATCACTGGGTGGCTCACACAAGGTTTGAGAGGGGTATCGTGCAGGGAGAGAGAAGTTTCACGTCAGAGTCTGGGGAGGAAGCAATCTGGCGAAGGCTTCCCAGAGAATGGGACACAGGGGTTGGGTTTTGAAGGATGGGTTTAGGCATTTGCTAGGAATAGATGGAGGGGAGGGGAATGAACATTCCAGAGAAAACAGTGTTCATTCCATATTGTATCCCCCAGAGCCTAGGACAGTGCCTATCACAGAGTAGGCACTTGCACAACGCTTGTTACATGGATGAAAGGATAAATAAATAAATGTTGATGGAAAGTGCTGGTGCTTTGCGGAACTTGGGGAGGAGGGAGGCACTGGGCTTGGGAGAAGGCTGGATAGGTATCTGAGGGCATAAGTAGCTGGAGCCATGGTGCCTGAGGACAGATGTATTTACTCATTCAACAGCTGTTAAGCACCTACTGCGTACGAGGCAAATGCCAAGCCCTGGGACTTGCTCACAGTGAAAGGACTATAAACCACGACAAGATCTGTGAGTGGAGTTAGCTAGGTGATGAGGGGAGGGAACAGCATGTGGGCTTTACTCGTGGAGGACTTGAGACTGAAGAGGCCAGCAGGGATGGATGGAGTCAGGCTTGCAGGCTACACTAGGGATTTAGGATTTCATCCCAAGAGTCATGAGGAGCCTTCAAAGGTTGTTCGGTGGGAGAAGGGTTGTAATCTGCTCAGATCAGACTTTGAAGAGGTCATTTCGACCACAAAGCAGAGTGAACGTAGGGGACGGGGAGGCCAAAGCGGGGGCTGCTGTCGTGTCAGCCGGGAAACTGTGGTGCGGACGCTGCTAGTGGTGACAGGCGGGGAGAAGTTGGTATCTCTAGGGGATCAATCAGGCTGTCCTGAGACAGGGAAGGTCAAGGAAGAGCCCTTCACACATAGGCCACGGGGCTGTCCCACTTTCAAACACTGTCGGGGTGGCTTCCCCCAAAGCAGCCCCACTGAGAGAAATCCAGTGCATGTAGCTGATTTGGGAAGTGAGGGAAGTGGAAAAGGAGCCAGAAAGAGTGCGTTTTCCATCAGGCTACCCCTGCTGCAGTCACTCTGTCCCCCCAACTCCACACTCCTTAGGTAGCCCCAACCCCAGGCCCCCATCACTGGATGGCTCACACAAGGTTTGAGAGGGAGGGAGAAAGTTTCACAGGTGAGGGGCGAGAGGCCTTCTGGGTTTCAGAATCCAGGTGGGCCTTGTGAGTACGGCCCCTTGGAAGTGGCTCCTCGAGGTTGAGCTGCCCTACTGATGTGCATGGAACTGAGAGGAGCCTTCCAGCCCATCCCTGGCAAGGCTGCAGATCTATGAGCTGGAAAGGGGACTGAAGCCTAAGTTTTGGGGGTGGTTTGCTACATAGCATCGGACAACCCAAACACCAGAGCTTTGGGATTTCAGGACCTAGTAATTCAAGCCCTTGTAAAAGGAGGTCACAATCCCCAGAAGGCAGAGTGGAGAGTCAGGTGTGACAGGAGAGTCAGACCCTGCTGTGTCCCTCGGGCACCGTAGCGATACCACACTAGGCCCCTCTACCTGGGCCAGGACCTAGAAAGACAGGAACTCCAGGTAAGTGTGCGGAGACCCAGAGTAGAAGGGACCAAGCCTCGGGGTTCCCAGCCGAGCGTGTGGTGAGAACAATACAGGAGAAAGGTCTAGGTCGCCTGGGAGCCCGAGACAGTCAACTGGTAAAGGCGTGAGGTCCCAGATGGGTGTGGCAGGATGCACCATATTTGGGCACCGAAAAGTAACCAGAAGGACTTCATTGCATCCCCTAAGTGGGACAAGTGGCTAGACTTGGTCAGGTTCTGGGATCCACATACTCCCCTTGCTGGTTCCCCCTGCCTCGGGGTGCTGCCTGTTGCCCAGAGCCCACAAGCCTATTAAGAGAATCTTCGCTTGGTAGTTGAAGGCTGTGGAGCTAGCTGATTAGCTGTGTGGCCTTTGGCAAGCCCCTTGCCCTCTCTGAGCCTCTGCTTCCTGCTTTGTAAACCGGAAGCACTGACAGAAGTCTTACAGCAAATACTTCCTAAGGGGTCATCATTATGTCCAACATAGGATACAAATGGATGTCTGGGGTGGGGGAAGACTTTTTTCCCTTTAAAAAGCTAATTCTCACCAAGTTTTTACTCTGTGCCAGGCATTGTACATACACTGACTCATTTAACCCTCAAAGTACCCCCAGTGAGGTGGGGACTGTTATCACCATTTTATATGCGGGAAAACTGAGGCCCACAGAGATGAAGCAGGTAACCACTAAGTGACCTAGCCAAGATTCGAACATAGGCAGGCTGGCTCCACAGTCAGTATTGTCTCTCAGTGAGGCTCAGAGAGGGGAGGGCTCTGGCTCCAGAAGAATCAAGAAGGAGCGCACCGAAACTTTGGATGGGGGGTGTGGGATGGGAGGGGTTGTTGAGACCTAGAGAAGAGGTGAGCCTCATTTTTGTATGGGTGAGGGGAGCTGGGCGCCGCACAGGAGTCTCTGGATTTTCTCACGACTGTGATATGACCTCCCTGTCAAGCAGGTGGTGGGCAGAATCTAGTGCCCCCCCATGTTAGAGGGCAGTTTCGAGGTAGGTGGGAGCTGGGCTTCTGGAGGGCCTAAGCCCTCACAGGCCAATTGCTCATTATGCAGGCGAGGGGTCCCTGCCCAGGCGTTCACACAGCATGGCCGAGGCGGGACTGAAGCAGGAGCCCAGGCCGCCTGACCACAGCCTTGCCCATCCCACAGGCCCTGCTGGCCTAGCCTTGCCCAGCAACGACACAACCCACACCTCCCAACAGGGACCGGCAGGCCCTTCGGTTTGGAAACGGAGACCCTGACTAGAGGTGTGCAATCCCCTCTGCTTAACATACACGACCTCGTTTCGTTCTCACAGCTACCAAATGTGGGGGTACTAAGATTATTCATTTTACAGACCAGAAGACTGAGGTTCAGAGAGGGTAAGTCCCTTGCCCAGGGACTTCAAACCCATGTCTGTCAGTCTGGTGTTTGGCAAGTTGGGGGGCGGGGGCGGCAGTGGAGAGGATGCAGAGACACACGGGCGGGGAGCAAAATGGCCAGGGAGGTGAGGCTGAAGGCAGATGGCGAGGCCAAATCACGAAACCAAAGATGCATTTCATTTCAGTGAGTATCTGGGAAGGCTGCTAGGGAGGTGAGCTGAGCCTCAAAAAATCAAAATGAAGGAGATGGGTGGAAGGAACTGGCATTTCAAGAGGAAGAAACAGCTTGGGCGAGGGCCAGGAGGTGTGACGGAGTATGTCTGAGCGAGGCTGGCGCTCAGAGTTCGCGGAGAGGAGAGAGGAGGCGAGGCCCGAAGGGTCTCAAACAAAGGCTTTGAACGCCAAGCAAAACAGATGAACTCGATCCTGAGAGCCCCGGGAGGTTCTCGAGAAGAAACCCGTAGCTGGGGACCCGCCCCTGCGCAGAACCGCCACGCCTTTGCCCGCGCCACCACCCTGTCCACCCGCACTGCTTCAAAACTTTGGAATTGTCCCTAGTGATGAGCTATAGTTTTGCCTTCGCCGTGAGCCTACTCGTCCCCCTGAGTTTCCTTCCGTCGTTCCAAAGAGGAGCCCCTATACCCATCTTTAACCCGAAGGAAAACCGACGCCAAATCCCCGCGCGACCCGCGGCTGCGCACGCGCCCGCCGCCACCGGGACGTGACTCGTGGAACGTCCACTCCGGGCGGCGGGGAGGCGGCGGGGGTTGGGGGCAGGGAGGTGCCCCCTCAACGAGTCCAGCTTCTGCGGCCGTCGCCGTCTGGACTTAGAGCTGAGACCCGGTGCTTTCGACCCCGCAGTTTGAGAAGTTTCTGCTGGTTTCAGAAGTTTCCTAAACAGTCTGAGGGCTTTTCTCCGTTGGCGTCCACATTCGGGCACTTCCATAGCCACCCATTCACCCTTCAGGGGTCCTCGACGCCCTCCACGCAGTTAATTAAGTGACGGACGCAGTAACCAAGGCGACCGCTTGATTGACAGGCATGAATGCGAACCAACTTCCGGAAGCTCCCGTCTGGGCCCGCCCGGCGCGTGGCCGGTGACCCAATGAAAGAACTAGAAACGCCAAAGGGGGCGGTGACGGGGCAGCCTAGGTTGTGGCGGTTCCCCGGTGGTTGCGCGTTGAGGGCTGAGGCGTTTTCGAGCATTTGGACGATGCCGTGACGCAGCATCGCGATAGCGTTGACAGCGTGAGCGCACCCCTGTGGAGGGAGCCTTTCGGTCGCGGAGGTGGCGCGTCAAGGAGACAGGTTGCTATTTGAGGGTGCTCCCTCGGAGCCCTTCATTGAGTGGGGGAGGGGCGGCGGACGCCGAGCGGTCCCCGTCTGCGCTTGCGCGGGCGCCTCCGCTGACCCGGCCTACACGCACGCGCATGCCCGCTGCGCGCAGAGCCGCGGTGGCCGGCGGCATTGCGCGTGCGCGCTGAGGAGCCCGCTGAGGAGCGGCGCTGGCGGACGTCGGGCGAACGGCCCGTGACGTCGTGAGGAGCGCTTTAAAGTGCGGGCTGGGCCGGGCGTCTGAGGGTCTGGCTGGGAGTCGGGTCGGTCTTCTGTAGCGGCCCTTCGCGGCATGAGGCGCTGCCGGCGCCCTTGCTCCGTGGGACGTGGAGAAGGTGGAGGAGGAGGAAGCCCTGTTGCCGCCACCGCTGCATGACCCGCCGCCCCTGAGGCCCGACCCCGCGCCCGTTCCCTCGACGCCCCCCCCCGCCGTGTCCCCCGGTCTCGCATGGGGGCCTGGCGCTGAGGAACCCCATTTCTCCGGGGGCGCCGGGGCGCGTCCTCCGAGAGCCATGCCCGGCCGCCCCTCCCGCCCCGGAGGACCCTAGAGCAGCGTCGTGGGGGCCATGGCGGCCGCCAGCGGTTACACGGACCTGCGTGAGAAGCTCAAGTCCATGACGTCCCGGGATAACTATAAGGCGGGCAGTCGAGAGGCAGCGGCCGCCGCCGCCGCAGCCGTAGCCGCCGCCGCCGCTGCCGCCGCCGCCGCCGAGCCTTACCCGGTGTCGGGGGCTAAGCGCAAGTACCAGGAGGACTCGGACCCCGAGCGCAGCGACTACGAGGAGCAGCAGCTGCAGAAGGAAGAGGAGGCGCGCAAGGTGAAGAGCGGCATTCGCCAGATGCGTCTCTTCAGCCAGGACGAGTGCGCCAAGATCGAGGCCCGCATCGACGAGGTGGTGTCTCGCGCCGAGAAGGGCCTGTACAACGAGCACACGGTGGACCGGGCCCCGCTGCGCAACAAGTACTTCTTCGGCGAGGGCTACACGTACG